AAAAAAAAAAAAAAGAGGGGGAGGAGGTCCAAGCCGTGGGGGGAGAGGACCCCACTTTGGTGGTTTGCTTCACTGAGAATGGTCTGCACTGCCTGCCTGCACCTCTGCCTGCACCCCCGCCTGCCCCATGTCCAGCCCGGGGCTACCCAGGGGACACGCAGAGCAGGAGGGCCCCGCCGGGAGCCTGTCCCAAAACACCTCCGGGACACGTCCCGCCGGGGATGCCGGCTGGCTTGGGGGGGGGGGGCTGTTGCATGATTTTGCCTTAATTAAGATATTTGTGTCCTTTTCCTAGCCTCGGGAAACTCGATTTTTTTCTTCTATAGCTGCGATTTGATTTAAAGCAAATGAGAAGGTCTTCCAGCCGCAGCCTGCCCAGGCTGGCTGGGACTGTTTTACTCGCTGGCTGCGGTGCAGAAAAAGTACAAATGTGTGAGGAAATTGGTTAATGAGGAGAGGAGAGGAGAGGAGAGGAGAGGAGAGCCTGCACTGGCCTTGCTTGCAGGGGTCCAGCAGCACCTCATGCCCTTACAGACATGCCTTGCCCAGGCAATGTTTCCCAAGTTTTATTTTCCTCCTTCCTTAGTATGCTCAATTCCAGAAAGAAACTCAATAATTTAAACTGTGTATTAGAACTAGAATTTGGAGGGCAGGGAGGGTAATACTATTTACAAATTTCTGTCCAATAATGCCCTACGATATTACATTTATTAACAGGCAACAGTTCCCATCCTGAAAATTTACAGTGCAAGTTCCAAGAAAGTTTCTTTACTGAGGGTAGCATTATTTTTTACATTCTTTAAATATGAAGCTGATATTTAAATAGCAAATGATAGATAACATCTCCAGAGCCAGCTGAATTTTGTAGCTGCTCGGCTCCCAATTTGGGATAGAATGGCTACAAATACTGCATGGGGACAGGAAACAAATTTTGCAAGCAGTGGAGTCACCATGACAAAAAATAATTTGTTTTTATTTTAGATTCAGATTTCATTACTGCACTCAAACTACTACAACTGGGCTTTGAGTTATTATACAATCCAAACTGTTTCAATCAGAAACTCTAAGACTCAGTGTGCAATGATTATTATTAATAATAATTAGCTCCTTGGTTTCTTGATAGAAAAAGGCTATCAACAAGCATTTGTTTAACCACAACAAAAGTATAATTAGCTTATCCCACTTAGTAAATCTGTATGCATGCCAACTCATACCAAACTGCTACTTTTACAAAAAATTGCAATAATACAGATCATTTTTCCAGTCCTTTTTGCACAAAATTTATTTACAATGTATACATAAATGCTCCATGATGGGACTATGGAAAAAAAAATGCACACATGACCGATGTCTTGCCCAGAAAGAAAGTCAACATATTAAAAATAAATCTTCAGTCCATGTTTCGAGCTGCATAAAACAGGAAGTGATGTACAAGGTGGTGGTTGCTGCATGGGGACAAGGATGCTCTGATGTGACAATTAGGCTTCAAATACACTGCCTTTCCGTTTCCATGCTTCCTCCTACCAGTCTCCTTAAGACACTGCCTGCAACAGCTGATTAATCATTGTTGATGACTGCAGTTTTTCCCATCCTTCCCGATTTACATCTGTTCAGGCCAATTCAAATATGGTGAGTAAATGAATTAGACATGCAAATTCACGCCCCAGGCTAGAAAGAGAGAGAGGGAGAGAGATGGGGAGAAAGGGAGAGAAAGGGAAGAAAGACAGACAGAGAGAGAGGAGGAGAGAGGGGGGAGAGAGAGAGTGTGCATGGCTGAAATCCTAGGATAGAAGAAAGATTCTTCTGCCTGACATAGTTATTTTAATGCTCTAAAAATCCTGCAAATAAGCCCTTTCTGTCATTTGCAGGATAAGTGTAAGGCTTCTTTTTTAATGTAAGGAGGCTTCTGGAGGAAGTGAAGAGCTATGGAAACAACACACATAGTGTGGAAAAATTTCACATTTTTTTTAAAAAATCTATAAGAAACAACGTAATATGGATAACAGTATAATAGCATTTTACAATATTTCACTCTTTGTTCTCTTAATGTCTTATATAGGTATTTAGCATGTCCCCAGAAGTTGACTTCGGTTGGTGTTTTCCTGCTTTTCAGGGTCCCTGTGAAGAACTGGAACGTCCCTTGGTCCAAAGTTGACACCAAGAACTCCATAGTCATTGCAGAAAGACAATGTTTGAAATCTACCATCGCTGCAGACAACGTGTGTTTCCCTTAAGCTACTGAGCATGAATGTCCATCACTTGTCCGCTCACTGCTGGCTCGCCGGTATGAAGCATTGTGGGGCTTGATGCTGACATGGGCATTCCAGGGTGGGGTGGTCCTCCATGCATCATCATCGCTGGGTGGTGAGGGTGTCCAGGAATGTAGGTATGCATGGGGGGGCCATGACGCAGCTGAGCAGGATGGGGGGGCATCTGGGGCGGGGTATAGCTTGGCTGTCCCATATTCATACCCATTGGACTACCCCGAGACACATAATCCCCTGGCATACTTTGCAGCCCTGCGGAGAGAAAGAGGTGGTGGTGAGTGGTGGGGACTGGCTGCCGACATTGGGCCATGAAGCTCATCTGCTCGGGCACAGAAGGCCGGGATTGAGCCCAAGGAGGGATGCAGAGTCACGGATACGCGAGCGCAAGTTGCCTTTGTGGAATCAGAGTCTATGTATGGACTCACAATGAAGGCAACAGGAACGATTCCCAGGTCAAAAAGAAACCCCCCAAGAACCTCCTCTCCCCTCCAAATACAGAGCTTTTGGAGATAAAACCGCTTTCTCCTTTTCTGGTTAGGAACATATGCAATGGAGATGTTTCTGATCTGGAAGCACATGAGAGGCAGAGCCAGCCTGAAGATAACTAAAGTCACAAGGAGTGGTGGCACCAAGCCCTGTGAGGGCTCTCAGGTGGGCTCCATTCCCCATGACCTTACTCCAGCCACCTGCCTTCGTCTCCCCACTTGTAAAAGCATGCTGGGAATACAGGGCAGGGAATTCGTTGTCATTAATGAGGGGCTCAGGAGGAGAGATGGGTTAAATAGGTGTCAAGGTTTATCAACAGCTATTTATTTAGCTCTTGAGCCTGATCACTTGGAATCTCTCCCAAGTATTTGTGCCATTCAAGTAGATGCTATACAACAAGAACATACATTGCTGAACAAAGGCCTCATATGAAGTCGAAATTGATAGGATTACTTAAGTACGACTGTTAAACCAAACCCGTATTTTTAAACACATTAAAAAAAATATATATAATCAATAACAGTTATCAATTAATTATTTGCCCCCTGCTCACCTCTGGCCACCAAAAAAAAAAAAAAAAAAAAAAAAAAAAAAATCAGACGCGCAACTCAGTCAAACCTTTCAGTGGGTTTGGGAGAACAATAAGAAAAAAAATTGGACCTAAAACAATAAAACCTCCTGCTTTCTGTGGGCCTCTGCCTTCTGCTTGGATTGCTGTAGCTGATGGGAACTGACAGGTGTATTGTTTCGGAGAGCTATAAGCTCCATAATCATCAAGGGTGAAAGGCATACGCTATTGCTAAGTAGGTTCAATTGGCTTTAGTTCTAAGTAAGAGCGCGCTGTGAATGCGCCGAACACCTTGGAATCAGGTCTCAAGGCTCTAGCAATGAATAGCTGCTTAATCTAGCCTAAAGGAACAGTTTTGAACTAATGAAAATTGCTTATAAAATATACTGTACTCACAGCTCTTTAATCAAAAAAGATGATAATATTTTTTGTAATAACCTATTAATTTAATTGGTCACGAAGCATAAAATACATCATTTAAATTTAATTGACCCAGAAACTAAGAAACAATATTTAAATTAACTAAGCTAGAAATTTTCATGATGAGGTAATAAGGCTGTTGCATTCCCAAGCTCAGAGGAATGTTTTCACAGCTAATTGTTAAAACTTAGTTTTGACTTGGGCCCAGAGAAGAGTACTACGAAATACACTTGCCCTGGGTAACTTCAAACCCTATGTTAATATAGGCTGGGGGCACAACAAAAATGCTGAAATAACTCTTTCAACTCCAGAAAAGAGTAAGAGGAACAGAATCATGCACCATTTAATCATGGTATCGGTGTCTTGGTGTTTCAAACCACTTTACTCTTAAAAAAAAAGAAAATACAAAAATTCGTATAATGTATTTTCCCCTATAAAAGACAAGAGGGGAAAAAAAAACTGGGACAGTTTTTCTAGGCTTTCTTCGCGAGGCCTGCCACTGAAGATTGCATTAATGATCTCTATTTTTGTATACTGAATAAGTCAAATCCATTTGTCACACTGCAAGTGATGGCATACTTAATTTGGATATAGTCAATTAGCCTGGGCTAAGCTCCATAGCCTGCTGCGCACACCTCTATTTTGTATTCTCTCTTTTTCCTTTGCCACACGTAATCCCATTATGACGGACAGACAAAGAGAAATAAACTTGAAAAAAAAAATAAAAAAAAAAAAAAAGAAATCAAAGTTTTGTCCATCGCCTTCCAAAACGCAACTAAGTGAAGCTGCCGTTTTTTCGTTTGGTGTGTTTCTTTTTTCCTACCCTACGAGAAGTCTCCGCTTGGCTTTTTTGGTGTCTTGCAGGTTAGCGGGAGAAATGTAACTCATGCATCAACTGCGGTTAGACAGATTTATGACACTTTGGGGACATGCTCTTTCCTCTCCCTGCGCTGCTGCAGACCGCTTACATTTTGCAAATCAGTCTGTTGCCAAGACGACGGGCTCCCCCACCTCCCCGGCTGCTCCTTGTTTTGTCATGTGCTCGGGGATGGATAATAGCATCAATGTATGGCGGCGTCGATGTACGGCAGCGTCAGCGTACGGCGCGCGCGCGCACGGGGGGTTTTGGGAGCTTGGAAAGCTTGAGCTGAACCAGAGGGAGAGAAAACCCGAAGGAGCCCAGGCGTAGGATGGATGGATGGAAAGGAAGGAACAAGCATGAGGCTATGGGCAGGGAGAACATAGGGAAATGCAAGAAGACAAATATCCCTCGGACAAAGTGAGAACAAAGACCTCGTTTGTACTTACTTCCCCCTGGCTTTGCCATTGGTTACCTAGGTGAAGGTTACATGTAGTGCCACTGCCCCTCCATGCCCATATTCATGCCCATTCCACTCATAGGTCCTAGAGGGAGATAAAAATCCAAGAAGATGCCAGAAAATGAGCAAAGTCAACAGATAGTGCCAAAAGCCCCTTTCCAAAACACAGCACCGGCAGAGGGTCCAGGACCGCTCGAGCACGGAGGTGCCTGGTTTCCCTCGGCGGTGTGGAAGGCAGGCAGAAGACAGGTGAGGCAAGGCAGGCAGCTGGGACGGCAGCGGAGGGCGGAGGTGTGTTTACCTGCGGTGGCGCGACCGAGGCCACCCGTAGGTGGGTGATGCTCTCCCGGGGCTTACCTGGTGCTCGGATGCCCATGTGCTGCTGGCCGTCCATCACGAAACCTCCCATCGGCTGCCCGTCGGGGTTATAGGGTGTTCCTTGACTTACTGGAAAAGTGCAGAACATTGCTTTTTAGCAGCAGCCAAGAGGGTCATCTCTTCTCACGGCATCGAGATGCAACCCCCCCCTACCCGCGGGCTATCATTGTTGGCTCTAAAGAGAGGGAAAAATATCTACTGTGCGAATTTAGCGCTGGCCTAACAAGCACGCTTAAGTTTTGGCTTAATCTCCTTCTGCAAGTTTGGAAATGAAGTTTGCAAACTGAAATCTTGAGATGTGAGGAGCCCGGGCTCCAGCTGCTGCCGCTGCTGACGTCAATGCAAAAACCTGTATAGGAGCCGGATTTTATGGCTGGAATAGTCACACTGAAATCACAGTGTGTTAAATTACGCCCCTGTGCCTTCTAAGAGTAGGATCTGAACACGTCCATGCCAGATATTTACTTCTAATGACAAATAATCAAATGTACTTGAAGAGGAAGTGTGGTCCAAAGGCATCTTGGACAACAATGTATTTGGAGAGTTTGACAGCAAGACTTGGAAAACAAAACCAACTGGGACTAACGGGTTCTGGTAATCCTTGATGGTAAATACCCGCACAGAGCTGCGAGCCAGGACCCCAGACAGAACCAGCATGTGGAAACTTAAGGTCTTTTAAAGAAGTAGAAATAAATCCCCCCAAAGTAAACAGCAAATGCTCAGCAATCCCAAAAGACAGCTACTAAAAGGAAGAGCCAAGGGACAAAAGAACCCTGTACAAGTACCACTACCTGAACTGGAGGTTTTGACTGTACATTAAAAGCCGGCTTCAGAAGTAAGCTGCCTTGGGTTATTAAAGCACATAAAGCTCTACCTCATTGAATGTCTTTGAACTTTACTGAGTCCCACAAGCGATTCTGACCCCTTTGCCCTTTTGACAGGTAATAAAGTTTACAGCAATTCCACACCAAGCCATGCACCAGGGAGTGGTCACAGGAGCAGAAAGAGCTGGTAAAAGGAAAACTCCAAACAACTGCTAAAAAAATAAGAATAATTGGGATCATGTACAGAAAGTCCGGTCATGGAGCGGATCATTTTAGTTTTTCGTTTTGAATTTTCAGTGTCTTTTTTTTCCCCCAAATGTTTTTAATCATGTTAAAATGATTAGAGTCGTAATGAAAGAAAGCTGGTTGTATTTTAATTGTCAATCACTCCCAGCATTCATTTCTCATTTATTTACCAGGTAATGGACCTCCCCGTGAATGGCTTGAGGATGGTTTTCGCCTGCGTGACTTGAATACAGTTACTATTGGGGACTTGCCTGCTCGATTGGACTGGTCTATCATGGGCTGAACTATTCTTCTTCTAGCATTAATAAACCTGCAAGAAAAAAAAAGGAAAGCAAATGGTTAGGGAAGGGATGTCTTCCACCCATCCCCAAGCCCTCTTGCCCTTGTTGTGGCGCTCTCCATCGAGCTGCATGGGGATGCAAACACTGCTAAACCTCTAACCCTCATGACCTTTGAGAGCACGAGCTTGGGGTTTCCAAGCTGATTTATGTTTGCCTGCTTTTTACCACAGTTGGACACTTCCATTTCATCTTTTCATGGGGGAATTAGCCGAGTTTTCAGGAAACAATACCAGCAACGCTCTTCTCAATACAGAATGGGGCACCGAAAAAACAAAAACGTGTGAAGCGAGATGTTCATGAGGGCATCTGCTACCTCCCCCCTCATTAGTGTCATTTCTGCCTTATGTCCTCTGACTTCTTTTTCCAATTTTTTTCTTTATCAAAACCTGCCCCTACCTCTTGCAAACCTAATTCCCTTTTAATGCCCACTATTAAGATAATGAACTGTGATGGCAGAACCCCATCAAATGAGGGAACGTCTGGACTTTTATCACCACTAAGTCACACTGCTGGGGACTTCAGAGCCATGCATTCCTCCTAGCCATTTCTTGGTGGGCTTTTTCCCCCCTCCCTCTCTTTATGCAAAGTCTGAGGGGGTCAAGGCGAGGTCATAGCTTTACAGTAATTGAATTTATAATCCTGTTTTCTCCAGCTAGGCCTGACCATTTACAGCAAACATCTTGTTAAACTGTAATTACTGGAATACTGAAAATTCCCCCCCGAACAATGAAAAGCAGATCTTTGGAAATAATAAAAAAAAGAAGGTACGGTCATTTTTAAAAATAGCAATCTGCAACCCTCCTCCTTGTGTTTCTGTAGCTCTTCGCCTCAGTTAGTCTTGCAATGCTTATTTGGAAATATTCAAAATAATTTGGAGCAAAACAGAAGAAGGAGAGAGATCACAAGTGCCCCAGTCTCCTTGTGGGTCTGAAGTCAGGAGGCTGGACATCATGGCTGGGAACCTATCTGAATTAAGAGCATTTGAAGAACCTCTCTTGAGATTTCACTCATCAGAAAGTTTAGTTAAAATCCATTTGGAAAAAAATCTTCACAGAGATCTGATCACAGCAAAGTTGCATAACTGGACTTTTCATTCTTTAGGAGAGACAAAAAGAATAATAAAAATGTGTACGCTGCAATATTTACTAGTAAAGGAAGATGCGTGAGCATTGGCTAAACCGCAGCACACTTGTAAACTGGGATGGGAAACTTCACAAAGGAATACTTGATACTTGTTTTCATTGCCTTTGCTTGAGGTGGCTTAGCAGGAGCTCTCCTACCACAGAGATAAAGCCACCAGGATCTTTCCGCGGGAATCAGCTCTGCCCACCCATTCCCCTGCACCAGAGGGGAGAAGAATAGCAAACCACTGCCCCATGCTGTTTCTTTTGCCCTCATCAAAGACCAGCACAGTGATTTCAGACTCCTCCTATCTCCCATTCCCCACTGACACCCATTACCCAAAGTCCTGCACAAATTAATCAAGATGTTGAGTCCTTATCAAACCCCTTGTCTTGAGGAAACGGGCTCAAAGGCACCAAATCTGGGTGCCAATCTGGAAACCTTACACCTGAACTAGGTCATGTTTTGTCAGCAACAGTATTGGATCAATTTTTCTACACATTTCCAATAAACAACACCCTCAATGCCAGGAAACAGTGTTGCAAATCAGTTTATCATTATCTTGTACAAACCATGAAAATTAAAATCATGTGAGCAGAAGGTTAGACTAATTTTCCTTTCTCATTATAAGCACAGGTGTAGCACAAACACCATGTGAAATAAGCAATTAAAAGAAATCTGCTTTTTTTCCCCCATTAGCTGCCTTAGCTCCATGACCAATTGGAAAATTGTTTAATATCTGCAATCTGCATTTGCAGAAAGCAATTTTCACAGTAACTCTTCGAAGTAAAACAACAACACAGAACCCTAGTGCCTCAGCCACTTCTTTTTGCAAGTCTGGCAAGGCTCTTGCTGTGTTTACTCCATCCTTCTCCTGCCGCATTCCCAGGACCTGGTACTGTGGAAACGGGGGGAGGATTTTTGGTAACCGTGAGAGTGACTGGTCACCAAAACCTTCATTTTTTCAACAGCTTTGACCCCAAAGAAATGCTGAGCAACATCATCCATGCACACCCCAACTTCAAGACCTTCTCCTCCTTCTCCTCCAAGCACTTTTAAGAAGAAGGGGGGGGGATCTCAAGATAATAAACTATACTATACATCGTTTATACACTAATATACACTAATTGTTTATACACTAATACACCAGAATAAACTATATATCTAGAGTTTACCAATAATTATCCGCCAGACGTGCCTACGGTAAAACACATTCTCACCCGTTTGCCCCACGCTATCGCTTGGGATATCTGCTTTAGGAACGTTTTACACACAGGTACTTAACAGTTATCTTCTTCCTACGCATTCATGTAAGTATTTTCTATAAGTAGCAATTCTGCCAAACAGCCCAGTGTTTGGATGTCTTCGGGGGGAATTCAGACGCAAGAACATTTTCCTTCTGGGCAAAGTAATAAAATGACATTCTCGCTCCTCCCACTAGAAGTCAAACGGAGGTCAGCTCCCCATCCTTGTATCTGTTTAAATAAACTGGTCCAGCTGTTTGTTTCCAGGATGCCCTTTAACCTTCTGTCCCATCCTCCCTGCCTTTGTAACACAACGCTTTACTTTGCATTATAGTAGACTCCAAACCACTACGCATTAAAAAAAAAAAAGAAAAAGAAAAAAGAAAAATAAAGAAGAAAGTATTCACTTTCAAGTTTCTTCCTGCATCCTAAACCTGGAATTCCTAAGAACCCACCAGATTAAAACTATTAATGTGGCTTGCCCTGAGAGAGCACAATGCAGCGCTACTATGTTTATAAATCACATTTGAGAACTCTTTGCAAGCAAAACTGCGAATTAGCTGCTGCTGCAGAAATACATGGACACGGGGTTAATTTCTTTATATTCTGGGTTGTTTTTTTTTTTTTTTTGCTTTGAGAAAAGGGCCAGAATCTTTTGATCACTCTTTGAATTCCCAGGGTGCCAGGTTGATGTTAACATCAGCAAAAATGACGGAATAGAAAAGCCAACAGGAAAAATCTCCCTGTCCCTTTTCCCAAATGTTCATATTCACCTATCTTAAGAGAAGAAACCCTAAGTCACTCTAATTTTTAAAAGTTCAGAGGAATCGGGACCTAAAAAAGATATTTGCATACTAAATGCTACTGAAATGGAGTATTATCAAAATACAACTCAGAATAAAACTGAAGACAGATGCATAACCTCACTCATGTGCACAAAGACCAAGTCAGGCTCAAAAACTCGTATAAGGTATTTATCCCCATACCAGTGGCTCTGTGCATTGGTACCTTTGCTCTGATGAAGAAGGGTTTTTATGGTTTTGGGTTTTCTGCCTCAAAAGAGTAGTGGCACAGACAACACAAGATCCCTCAGTGTACAAGCTGTACCCACCTCCCAGCCCAAGGAGAGCTGAGAACGTTTCAAAGTGATTTGGGTTCCTTTCTTCAAGCTCTTTTTTTTTTTTCCTTTTTTGTTTTGCAAGAGGAAGGATCTGGCATGGAGAAAACATTTGAACAGTTGGGCAAACACAAAAGTTTAGGGTATTTACTATTTTTTTTTCAATTTAAGTTTTCCTTGCCCTATTTGGACACGTGGGATTGCGCTTTCTGCCACGTACCAAAAAGCAAGAAAAAAACCCAGCAACTCCACCTGCATAAGCCTAAAGAGGAGGAGGAGGAGGAAACCCTCTTTTCTCCCATTTGCATTTTACTAGGATGTTTTCTCTTAGGCTTCTTGTCTGGGGTCTGTCTCCAGAGGTCACTGGCAGACTCCCCTGTTGGTGCATCGCCGGTCCCACGGGTGAGCTCCAGCCCCAGCCCCGGGGATGCAGCAATCTGCCTCTGCACTCTGACCTTCAGCTTGGCCGCCCTCGCTGCCACGCACAAGTTTTGTTTCTTCTCAGCAAGAGGCTGCATGGCTGGTGATGACAAAAGACTTATTTTAGTTGGAAATTGGCTACAATAATAGCAGCCAGAGAGCAAGGATTTTCAGAGGGTCACCAAACCCTCCGAAAGGCACAGCTCGCTAAGGCTCAGGTTACAGCCCAAGTGACATTTTCCGCACAGATCTGTTCTTTCTCCCTTCCCCTTGTATTTCACTTCTGTCGAGTGAATAAAACAAGACCTTCCTCTGCTGTCACAAATTTCCAAAGTCACCTTTGCTCAAGAATCGACAGAGTGATTGTGGGGACTTCCAATTTGCAGTCTTTCAATGAAATTTTCCAGGACCAGCTGTCTGAAAGATGATGCTGAGACTTCACGGTCTATTGAATTTTTCTCTGCCCCCAGCCCTCCCAAATGAAGAGAGTTTCACACCATTACTGACTTTTGCTACTTGAAGTCGCAGGCTGGTCCCTCTCAATATTGTCCCAAAGCGCTGCATGACAGAAGTCTGTGTCTCACTAGCAGTGCCAAGAAGTTCCCAAAAATCTCTCTGCCTCATTTTCTCCTCGAGCTCCTTCTAGCAAACCAGGAGTAAGGAGAATGAGAAAGCCCAAAGTGCCTACAAACCCCAGTGCTAAAACCTCTCTTGCCCCTCTGAAAAAAACAGTACCCCTCTTGATAACAAGCAAATCATCATTTTTATAACAGATGCCAAAGTAACCAGAGCCCTTCAAACTGGCAAATTATTCACTTGTAAAATCAAATCGCACTCTTTTCTGCATACTGGGATCCTTCATTTATACAGCAGCAAAACAACCTTCTCTATTCAGCACTTAATTCCTCAACGCTTAACAGGTTTATCTCTAATAAAACCAATTTAAATGGAAAGTGTGCTATAAACTGAGATTATTACACTTCAGTAACTGCTTTATTCCTTATTTTAACATATTTTCATTTTTTCCCTCTGTGTTTGTTTTCCAGAGCTTTTTAAAGGAGTCAGT